GATAGAAAACTTTTCTTGTTTGGATTGAGAACTTTACAGCGAGCTCTCGAATATAATGGTGTGAAGATTTTCTGTGACAGGAAAAGCATAGTCCCCATGCAGCTATGACCATACTGTCTATATCTACACTCTACGATTGAGAGAGAAAATTTAAAAAAAATATTTCCGATAAACATTAGCTTTCATTACACGACCCACACGTGCGATAGCGCACACACATATATACACACGTACATATATATATATATATATATATATATATATATATATATATATATATATATATATATATATATATATATGTGTGTGTGTGTGTGTGTTTGTGTGTGTGTGTGTGTGTGTGTGTGTTTGTATGTATATGTGTACATACATACATATATATATATATATATATATATATATATATATATATATATATATATATATATATATATATATATATATATATATATATATTCGAATTCCAGTCGAATCCATTACATTCACTTAAAGGTATTAATCTTCTTCCCCCTCCAGCTATGGGTAAATAGCAGGACAAACTGGGTTCTGTAACCTTAGATGGCAACTAGTCTAGGAGAAAGACAACTCTGAATTCCAAACTTGCGGAATGTTGTTTGGAGGCCTTCTGTCACGTAGTGCATCAGATCTGTGTATTCGGCCCTTCAAAATGTGTGGTTAGTTCTACACAAAGTGGTTCCTAGTAACTGATCTGCTTGTCCCTCGTATGTCGAATACGATCGGAGAGTCCACCACACACACACACACACATATATATATATATATATACGTATATATCCCTCTCTCTCAATATATATACATATTTATATCCCTGTCTCTTTCTCTCTATATATATATACACACACGCACACACAAACACACACACACATATATATATATTTAATTCATATATATATATATTTAATTCATATATATTTATATATATATATATATATATATATATATATATATATATATATATATATATTAGGTGATTTTTAATCAACTTTTCATTCTCTCACTCGCTTTCTCTCTCTCACTCTCTCCCTCTCTCTCTCTCTATATATATATAACATATCTCTGTGTTCGTTTTGCAAACTTTATCTAAATATAATGAAGCTATACTATATATATATATATATATATATATATATCCCTCTCTCTCTCTCTATATATATATATATATATTTATATATATATATATATATATATATATATATATATATATATATATATATTTATATATATATATATATATATATATATATATATATATATATATATATATATATATATATATATATTCTCATGGTGTTAAGATATTCTCAGGAATTTATTAAAACTTCTTTGCATGCATTCTTTCTGCATATATCCTATGTGTACCTCATAAATGTACTTTAGAAACCCGTTAAAAAGTGGGTACATGAAGAAAAAATAGCCCAAACCTACTAAAAACAAATTGTACCCTCAAATTATTTCTGTTATTTTTAATATACTTAATATTTCAGAACCTTTGAAATTTTGGTTAAAAATTTTGTTATTCTCTCCTTATCATAGGATCATTAATTTGTACGCGAAATTTGACTTATCCTAATGAAAATCATTGATTTAGAAACACATCTGAAAATCAGATAATTGTCCGACCTTTACGACTTATGCAGGAATCAATCTTTTTATTTTTTAAAAGTTTCTCTTTTTGGAAAATAATATATACATTTTTTTATACATCTGTTAACTCTCATTTATTTTATGATAATTTGTTTTTGTATCTTTTGTTTATATTCAATATGGGTCTGCGGATTTAAATCGTCAATTATTTTGGTTAAACAGGATTCTTACTTACAGAAAATCTACTCTGAATTGTGAAATAAAAAATGAATTAAAAATAAGACATTATTTAATTCAAAATGCCTTCAATTGCTTTTAGGAATAGTTTATGTTAGAGACACTATAGTCTTAAGAAAGTCTTTTTCGATGAATAATGAATTTTTTCATATTAAAAAACAATTAATCAGTAGAACTTTCAAATATTTAAAATTCTGCATTAATTTTTATTGGCCAAGCGATAATGTTAGTCGATTAAAACTATATTTACTCATCATAAATGAATATCTTCAACAACCACTAGTATTTAAACGAATTTTGAATTATTTTATCTGTATATAAAAATATCGGACATAGATTAACAGAAAATAATAGTCACCTTATAGTAAATGTAAAATTTAATGGTAATTTTTTCAACAATCGCCTTCGTAAGAAAGACTATAAACTTCAAAGTACTTAAAATTCAATAAAATATTAGAATTCTTAAAACATTTTAAAATTTTAAGATTACTGGGTAGTTAAACAAATTATATCAAAAAGCGTACATATTGTATTCGATGTGTAACTGCCCCCTTTAGTTAAATTTCCCAAATGTCACGCTGTCTATAAATCACTCGACACGCCAAAAATAACCACTCTGTCTTAAATAGGATGCGTTTCTGAGATTTTTTAAACTAAAAGTAAATAATATTTTATTCAGTTCAAATTAATTAAACTTTAACTCAGTTATTGTTTGTAAAATAACTTTTCGTTAAATTATAATATATTTTCTAAAGACTATTTAATAAAGAAAATTGTGTTTTTTTTTTGTTTTTTGACAAATCTGTCAATGTGGCCAAATTCATCGATTTTACTGATGTATAGAGAAAATTCAGTCAGTTTAAATTCGGTTTGAAATGCATCAAAGTATTTTGCTTATTGTGAATATTAAATTTAATTTATTAGCTTGGATTTAAAACTAAAAATAAAGATTAAAATATTTCTTTTTTTTTTAAATTAGGTACTGCTTTTTTTGAGGCTACTGATATATATATATATATATATATATATATATATATATATATCATATATTTATTTAGGCAGCAAATTATCTTTTACGCATGTCTGATTAAATAAATTAGAGGCATTATGTCTCTAATCTATTTAATTATTTATATAATCTTAAAGGTTGTAGCGCATTCCTTGCATCAGTTGATTATAATACACGGAAGATTATTCGTGAGTATGTACGGATTATGCTAAAAATAAGCAGACATAATGACTGCAATTTATTTAATCTGGCATATATATATATATATATATATATATATATATATATATATATATATGTGTGTGTGTGTGTGTGTGTGTGTGTATTTTTTTTATTTATTTATTTATTTATTAATTTGACAGATTTTTTTAAGACAATTATTTGATAAGCATATTTGAGTAGACGCCCCGTTTATGTTTTCAAACACTATATTTATTTATTTTCGTATGCCGTCTGAATATTCGAGATATCTTATTGATGAAAAACATGCGCTCTCCTATAGGATTCGAACCTGCCTTCTCCATGGCGGCAAAAACTTTTTTTTTAATATATATGCGATGTGCTTATACCGAATCAGGCTCGTAAAATAAGTGAACTTTGCCAGATGAGAAGAAAATGAATAATATCGAAGTGTTGATTGTAGTCTTTAATTACGCCAGCTGGGAGAATCCCAAAATGACTTATATCGGAAGAAATTTCTGGAAATGAATGATACCTTCCAGTCGAAATTTCAAAATTTACCAAAAATACTGAAGAAGTTATGGCAGATTTAACATTACAGTGATAGCTCGGCTTAAGTCGTTTCGAGTTAAGTTAGTTTCGAACATACGTCAGCTTTTCTTAAGTATTATATGGAAAAATAAAATTCGCCTTACGTCGTTTTATCGAGTTTACATCGGCAGTTAAATATATTAAAAACGTCAAAACACTAAAGTAACAATAAACACATTTAAAGTCACATCTAAATAAATTTTAAAAAATATTATGTATACTATATATATATATATATATATATATATATATATATATATATATTTTATTTATATAAATGTATATTTTTTATTTATAAAATGTATATATGTATTTATATTTCTTATATTGAACAGGAACACATTTCCTTAAAGGGCATTTGAACTCATAGATAATGTTCGTCCTTTGTAATTTTGACTTAGTTGATGTGTTGTTAACTAAGTCAAAATTACAAAGAACGAACATTATCTATGAGTTAAAAAGCCCTTTAAGGAACTGTGTTCCTGATCAAACCGAACTCATAAATAATTACATCGGTTACACAACCACATGCTTATCCAGACGTCTTACGTTACACCTATCTGATCACAGCTCCATTAGAACCCATTTAAACACACACACAAATTTACCAGACTCCATTAGAAACATACTAGTAGAAAACAGAAATATATTAACTGCATCCACCTGCAAAAAATCTAAAAACAATGGAAGCTTTAATAATAAAAAATAAAAGGCCAACTCTTAAGAACAAATCCACAATGTGCTAGCCGTATTCGGCAATTGAAAACATCCCTACTACACATTAAGACATACGCATAACGCACACACTCAATTAAGCTGAAAAATCGAATCATGCTTGATAATGTCTAAAGGTATAGCCGAAAGCGCTCGGAAATATAAAATATTTAGACAGTTTTTACACACTCTTTGTCCAGAAAAGAAAGCTCTTGTTCAAACACAAGAAAAATTAAATAAAAAGATTAACCTTAGTACCTTGTTTGTCATTTCTAATGAAACATGCATAAAAGAAGGATTGCTGCCTAAATATAAAATCGATTCTCCCGTCGGGTTAGACGTAGGAGGGTCAAGCAGATCAGTTTGCGGGAAACCGACAGCCCGACACCGGCACATGAGATTCGATTATAGTGGTGAAGTCTTCGTGCAGGACCATCCACACTTTTTGAAGGGCCGAATACAGAGACCTGGTGCACTACGTGCCTGGGTTCTAAACAAACCCCTCAGGTTTTAAATTCAGAGTTGTCCTTCTCCTAGACCAGTTGCCATCCGAGGCTATAGAACCCAGTCTGTCCTGGTATTTAACCCATAGTTGGCGGGGAGAATACGAGGATTCACACCTTTCCCAAGGGTATTAGCACGTAAGTGAATGTAATGGATTTAA